GAACTTCGATGTAAACGTGGTATGTTTCAGATGGATATGCTCATATGTGTTTTTCGTAAATGAAAATTTTCATAATTAGCGCACTTAGTTTTATTTGGAAGAAAAAAACTGTTAGGTATTTCTTAAATATTTTACAAAGTATTTTGATAATATCTAAATAATACTTAATTTAAACAAGGTGAGATTTTGGTTCTTTTTCAAATAAAATACTATTTTTTGTATCATAAGACCTCAATTAATAGAAAAAATATCTCTTTTTCATCACGTCCTGACCAAAAATTCTGGAGAAAATGTTTTGATATTTCCATCTTATTATGTTGTATTAATGTCAGCTAAGTATAATATTTATTGAAGTTCTTTCATCGGTTATCATTCAACGAAAATTTACCTATAAAAACCAAACACAATTTATCATTGGCGATTATTCCGATAAGTCAAAACGTTATTAATGATATTTCTAAACTATTATGATTTCGCTCAAGTATTCAAGACATTGATTCTCATGCGCAATACACTATGAAAACTGATCATTGAAAAGAAATGTTTTTCATTTAATGATATAATTAGTAAAATGAAGAAAAAAACAAGAATGTATTCCTTTCGTAATTATTCAAATTATGTATACATATATCAAGGAATTAGCTCTTCATTACTAGTAATTTTATTCTAAGTCATATGTACAAAACCATGTATCTGTTTTAAATTATCGTATAAAATAAAATGAATATTACAAGTAATGAATTGCATTTTTTGAATATTTCCTTTTTTAGACAAATCTGTTTTAGTCTACCGTCTTGAAATAGTTTCATAATATTATCAGTTTATTTAACATAAATATAGTTGAATTAATGTGAACCAAGTAATATAAAAAATTGAGCAAAACTCATTCTTTCTCGATTTTACTCTACATATGTCACTTAATAAAACGTGCCAGCTTGATAAAAAAATATTGTAAGAAATTCATTTCTGCGTGCTTGTTAATATGTGCATTTGTGTTAGAACTACGTCAAAGAATAAAAGGCAAGAATATTGATATATGCACTGCAATGATGCCAGAGCAGAACACAAAGACATTCATATGTCAGCAGGTCTCTCGCCTGACATCAAAGTCTCAATGAAGTTAATATCAATAATTAAAAAAGAAACAAATACTTTTTGCATTAACATGATAAAAAGATATTGCAAGACCATGCTCTATAAATTAATAATGACATATGACCACCCATGATAGAACCAGCACTAATCATAGTAATTCCAATGAATTTTATCCGTTCATTATTCAATAAAAAGGATTCAAATATCGAATTATATTATATACAATAGCATAATTTGATGTCATGTATTATATCATATATGTAATGCTACTCGGTCTATGTTAAACAGTACAATATCTTTTTG